ACGCCTTTAGCAACATGCCATCAATACCATGGCTGGGGACACCAGAAATAGGCTTCACACATTGTACCCATGTGGGGAATCGAACCCGGTTCTTCGGCGGGACGAGCCAACGCTTTAACCACATGGCTACCCCAACGCAACTCTGAACGAAAAGGTAATGTGTCTGTAGCGGTTATCGTGTAGGTCAGAAGTTTTTTAGTGGTATTTGGGTTGGCATTGGCAGAGGGTTGCCTCCCTTTTGTTTTGGTCCCCCTTGCGAAACCAGATCATGGCTGAAAGCACATGTCATGTTGAACTTTGCGATGTCTTCTTCGATGGACATTCATGCGATGTGAGGAACCATGGTGTTCACAAAGTTGTGAAGAGAATGTGTACGGACAAGGTTTGCGACAACTTTGTATTTTAAATGAAGAATAAATGTTGGAACTTTTATAGATTGTGTTTTGCACGTGAGTTGCTTGGAAACCTAGCGGACTACCGCTATAGTGAACACCTCCTCTGAATGCAACTCGTGAATAGCAGAACATTTTACGATTCATGATGAGTGATAAAGTTTCAGTGATAAGTGGTTTGTCAGGACAGTCGGCAAAGTCACGTGACTCGCGAATGGCAGCTCAAGCGAAGGCAGCGGAATATCGTGTGCAGTTAGAATATGTTGAAAGGGAAGAGAAAACGCGCAGTGAACTTTTGAAACTTGAATTAAAGAAGAAACTTGATATTGAAAATGCCAAGTCACAGGTATTTGAACAGTTTGAATCGAGTGAAACATTTCTTTATGGAGCTAGTCCAGATAAAATCTCTCCCAATGTTAATGGACAGGCTGTAGAGAAATCAGTAAATATTGAGGAAGAAAATAAGACTGAACTTGTTAAGAAATATATTCAAACATTACCAAATGATGATATTCAGAATTCTAACCAGGATCATGATAAAACATTTGATGGTGCAGATCGTGCTCAAAACCCAGGAATCTATTCCACACCAATTTCTACAGGAGAAACACAAAGACAGACACAGCCATTTTCTTCAACGAAGCTGAATGTTGGTGCAGATGAATTCACACCCAAGTTTACACCTGATTGTGTTCCCAGAAGGTCTGAGATTTCAAATGTAGACTGTGTTATGGCTGCAGCAAGTGAGATTGCTAATATGACTAGGACATTTGCAGAGAAGTTTAGTTTGAGTAGATTACCAGTTCCTGAACCTGGTATTTTCTATGGAAATCCCATTTATTTTCCTTCTTGGAAAACTGCCTTTGAAACTTTGATAGAAACCCGTGAAATTCAGCCCCAAGAAAAACTTTATTATTTGAAGAAATATGTTGGTGGCAGTGTGCGAGATGACCTAGAAGGATATTTTCTTATGAGAACCCCTGAAGCCTACGATGAAGCTAAACAGCTTCTTGAAGATAGATATGGAAATCAAGTTGTGTTAGGAGATGCATTCAGGGATAAACTAGATGCATGGCCGAAAATTAGTTGGAAAAATGGAACAGCATTGAGAAAGTACGCTGACTTTCTGAAACAGTGTTTGATTGCAACAAGAACTATTCCAAGTTTGAGAGCCCTCGACTTTGAGAAGGAGAATAGAATGTTAGTGTCTAAATTGCCAGACAACTTGATTCACAGATGGAGTCGCATAGTTGTCATTTTTAGATCGAGGAAAGTATATCCTCCATTTTCGGAGTTTGTGAAGTTTGTGACTGACGAAGCCAATGTTGCATGTGAACCAGTCACACGTGTCCTTGTCATGAAGCAGGACAAAATCAAGGATTCCTTTACACAGAAGGATAGGGTTAGAGACACACAGACAAATCATAGTCTGAGAAGACCAGCTATCTCTATGTCAACAGAAGTAAAGAAGAAATATTGCTTCCTGTGCAACAAAGATCATGAACTTGAACATTGCGATGTTTTCCTCAAGAAATCTGTTGCTGATAAGAAGCAATTTGCGATGCAACGTGGGATCTGTTTCGGTTGTTTGAAATGGGGTCATCGCTCAAAGGATTGCCAGGACAGATTGACTTGTCAAGTGTGTTCTCGGAAACACCCAACAGTGTTTCATGGTGACCGTGTGGACAACAAATGTGAGATGAAATCAGATCAGCGAAGTTTGAATTGCGAAACACAAGTGAAATCTGTGAACGGGAAAGTAGCTGTTAGTCATATGAAGGACACTGCTCAGAATAACAAGTGTGCGATGATCGTACCAGTGTGGTTGTCACATGATGATAATCCAGATTCTGAGATATTGACTTATGCTTTATTGGACACCCAGTCTGATACAACGTTCATTCTGAAGGATACCTGTGAGAGGCTTGGTGTTACTGGACCTAAGGTTCAGCTGATGTTATCTACAATGCATGCAGAGAACGAAACAATTGAGTGTCAGAAGATCAGGAATCTTACTGTCAGAGGATACAACTCTTCACTGAAGATACCTTTACCTATTTCCTATACCAGGGGGTATAATGCCTGTGAATCGTGGTCACATTCCTACACCCGAGAATGTAGCTCAGTGGACGCACCTCGCAAGCATGTCAAGTGAGTTGTTAGAGTTACAGGACTGTGAAGTTGGTATTCTGATTGGGTACAACTGTCCCAAAGCTCTCACACCCAGAGATGTCATACCTGCAGATGCAAGTGGACCGTATGCTGTGAGAACAGACCTAGGATGGAGTGTGGTTGGTGTCATGGATCCAGAGGCTGTTGATGAAGATCCTATTGGAACGAGCCACCGTATGCTCACGTATAAGGTACCAGAAGAGCTGTCTTCCAGATGCAATGCTGCAGAGAAGTCTGAGCTTTTGAACCACGTGGTGATATCCTTGCAGACTTCGGTGAAGGAAACTATAGGAACAACACAAGTTGTCAAGTTGCTTGAACAAGATTTTATTGAATGTGAGAAGAGTGACAAGGTGTTGTCCTACGATGATGCGAAATTCGTAAAGATTGCAAGAACCAGAATTCGTCAATGCGCTGACAGTCATTATGAAATGCCCCTGCCTTTTCGTCACCCACAACCAAAGTTGCCTAACAACAAAGTTCAAGCTACCCGTCGCATGGAGCAGCTGAGATCACGTTTTAGAAAAGATGTCCAATTCCACACAGACTACGTAGCATTCATGGATAAGATCATCCAGAACGGACATGCTGAACGAGCCCCTGTGATAGATGACAGCAAGAAAACTGTTTGGTATATTCCACACCATGGGGTGTACAACCCACGGAAACCCAACAAAATACGAGTCGTGTTTGATTGCAGTGCACGATTTCGTGGTGAATCCCTAAACGACCACCTCTTGCAAGGTCCAGATATGACGAACACATTGATCGGAGTCCTCCACAGATTCCGTCAAGAACGGATTGCGGTGATGTGTGATATTGAACAGATGTTTTTTTCAATTTCGCGTTGAGGAGAATCAAAGAGACTATCTTCGTTTCCTTTGGTTCGATAAAGGGGATTTTAATTCCAATCCTGTTGAGTATCGCATGAAGGTGCACTTGTTCGGAGCTACCTCCTCGCCGGGATGTTCCAACTATTGTCTGCGACAATGTGCGAATGATTATGAGGAAGAAGTTGGACACGAAGCTGCTGAGTTTTTGAGAAACAACTTCTATGTAGATGATGGGTTGAAGTCGGTGAAGACAGTACAGGAAGCTGTCAAACTTGTCAGTGAAAGCCAAGAACTTTGTGCGAAGGGTGGCATCAGGTTACACAAATTTGTGTCCAACTCAAAAGAGGTCATGACCTCTCTCCGTCCACAGGATCGTGCCAATTCCAAGGAGACAGAACTGCTCAAAGGCATGGACATTGTTGAGAAGCCTTTGGGAATTCACTGGTGCGTAGAAACTGATACTCTGTCAATCAGAGTTACTTTACAGGACTCTCCACTGACGCGTAGAGGCGTGTTATCAACGGTCAGTTCTGTGTATGACCCCTTGGGTTTTATAGCTCCAGTCATCATGGTTGGAAAGGCTATACTACAAACAATGTGCCGAGATAATGCTGACTGGGATGACCCAGTCCCAGAAACCCTGCGATCCCAATGGGAGAAGTGGAGAACTGAGATTTTAGAATTGACAAGTCTTAACGTGGATAGATGTTTCAAACCACAGGAGTTCAGTGAGATTGAAAGAGTGGAGTTTCACCATTTCTCAGACGCCAGCAATCTGGGATATGGTCAGTGTTCTTACGTCAGATTGACTGATAGTGGCGGAAAGATATATGTCTCATTCCTGATGGGAAAATCTAGAGTTTCTCCGCTAAAACAGGTCACCATACCTCGCTTAGAACTCACTGCAGCACTGGTATCAGTCAGAATCAGTACTTTGTTGTCCAGAGAACTTGAATTTGAAGATGTGAAACATGTGTTCTGGACAGATAGCAAGGTGGTAATTGGCTACATAAACAACGACTCGAAGCGATTTCACGTCTTTGTGGCTAATCGAGTGTCACAGATCCGAGATAAGACTGAGCCAGCTCAGTGGAGATACATCCAGACTGAGAATAACCCAGCAGATGACGCTCTCGAGGTCTCACACCTCATGACTTGATACACAAGTCCGACTGGCTGAAGGGACCAGTCTTTCTCTGGAACAAGCAACTACCTGAACAGCACACAGATTCAAACAGTGTGATGTTAAACGCAGATGATCCAGAAGTGAAATGTGTTAAAGGTGTTGTGATGAAGACGATGACAACTGAATCAACCAAGCTAGACATGGTTGACCGATTTGCACGCTTCTCTGATTGGTTCAGGTTGAAGCGTGTTGTTGCAATGTGCCTGAAACTGAAGCGAAAGTTGAGACGAGATGTGAAATTGAAACACAGCGAGACCCGCGGAGCTGACAAAATTATTGGATCAAGCACTAGTGTTACTGTGAATGACATGCTGGAAGCTGAAAATGAGATAGTCAAACACTGTCAAAATAGTGCTTATGCAGAGGAGATTCAATTTTTGCGATCTGTGAAAGACAATCAATACACATTCAGACAACTGAAGAAGACGAGCTCACTCTCTCGCCTTGATCCATTCTTGGATAGCTCTGGTGTGATTCGTGTCGGAGGTAGAATCAGGCAGTCTTCTGTCACCTGCAATGAGAAACATCCAGTGATACTTGCAAAGGGACAACATGTTAGCAACCTTATTATTCGTCATTGCCATGAGAAAACGTGTCATCAAGGACGCGGGATGACTACAAATGAAATACTATCAAGTGGCTATTGGATTGTAGGCTGTAGCTCTGCAGTTTCATCTTACATATACAAATGTGTGAAGTGTAGGAAACTCCGAAGTCAAGTACAGCAACAAAGGATGGCAGATTTACCATCTGAACGAGTGAATGCGTCCCCACCATTCACATATTGTGGTGTAGACTGCTTCGGACCCTTCCTGGTGAAAGAAGGTCGGAAGACTCAGAAACGCTATGGCATACTCTTTACTTGTTTAGCCTGTCGTGCTATACATGTTGAAGTTGCTTCATCACTCTCCACAGATTCTTTCATAAATGCTCTGAGGCGGTTCCAGGCAGTTAGGGGACCAGTGCGAGAATTGCGGTGTGATAGAGGCACAAACTTTGTTGGTGCCATGAATGAACTAAAGGACTCTTTTGAGACTGAGATGTTAAGAAACTACCTTTTTGAAATGTAATTGTGACTTAGTGAAATTCAACATGAATGTACCTGGAGCCAGCCACATGGGTGGTGTCTGGGAAAGACAGATACGCTCAGTGCGTTCAGTGCTCAATTCCCTAATGGACCAAGTGAAGGCCCAGCTGAATGATGAATCCCTGAGAACATTGATGCTGGAGGCTATGGCGATTGTGAACAGTCGGCCGCTATCAACTGATACTCTTAATGATCCAACATCATTAGAGCCTCTGACAGCAAATCACTTGCTGACTATGAAAAGTCAGATTGTACTGCCCCCCCTCCCGGACATTTTCAGAAGGCAGATTTGTATGCGTGCAAGCAGTGGCGTAAAGTGCAGTACTATGCCAATGAGTTTTGGTCTAGATGGAAGAAGGAATTTCTTCAAAACATGCAGACACGACAGAAATGGACCCAACATTTCAGAGATGTACGTGTTGGCGATGTTATGATCCTCAAGAATGACAATGTACCAAGAAATCAGTGGCAACTTGGTAGAGTTGTTGAGACCTTTCCGAGTAAGGACGGACATGTTCGGAAAGTAAAACTTCAGATCGCAGATCAAGGATTAGACTCAAAGGGAAGACGGCAATCTTCCACTACCTTTCTGGAACGGCCTGTCCAGAAACTGATACTTCTCCTTGAACATGAAGAATGATTTGAACTGTTTATGCTGACTGAGCTAACTTCTTGAACTGATCTGAGTGGATATGTTTGTGAACTTTGCAAGTATTGAAGTGTGAAATATCTGAAATTGAAATGATGTTTTGAACATTTTAAGGTTGGATAAGATTTTATTCAAAACCGTTTGTTTTATTGAAATGTCATGTTTTAGTGAAATCTATGTTTACTTTAAAGTTTGAATGTGTGTTAAGAATTAATTTACTTGGTAACATTTAAATTGCGAGGATGAGTTAACTTGCTATGAATATGTAAATTGCGATGGCATGAATGGAAATTAAGGATATTGCAATTATATGTGTGTATCATTAGTTGCAAGTTATAGATAGTTTCCTATTAAAATTAGTTTATGCTAATTTGTGGGGGAGTGTAGCGGTTATCGTGTAGGTCAGAAGTTTTTAGTGGTATTTGGGTTGGCATTGGCAGAGGGTTGCCTCCCTTTTGTTTTGGTCCCCCTTGCGAAACCAGATCATGGCTGAAAGCACATGTCATGTTGAACTTTGCGATGTCTTCTTCGATGGACATTCATGCGATGTGAGGAACCATGGTGTTCACAAAGTTGTGAAGAGAATGTGTACGGACAAGGTTTGCGACAACTTTGTATTTTAAATGAAGAATAAATGTTGGAACTTTTATAGATTGTGTTTTGCACGTGAGTTGCTTGGAAACCTAGCGGACTACCGCTATAGTGTCCTTTGTACTGATTTTTTTCCCAGTTCACAGGTAACTTGATGATGTTGTTTGCTTGTTCTTTAACGCCACACTCAGCAATATTCAATATATACGACACACGTCTGTAAATATTTGTTTGGATCACATAATCCAGTAATCAACATCATGAGCATCGATCTACGCACTTTACTGAGACGATGACATGTGTCAACCAAGTCAGCGAGCCTTACCACCTGATCCAGTTAGTCGCCTCATACGACAAGCATGGGCTGCTGGGTCGCCTTATACGACAAGCATTGGCTGCTGGAGATCAATATAAGCCTGGAACTTCACGGATACATATGTGTAAGAGACTTAATGGCTTCCTCTTACGACCGCTTGCTGAAGTCATACGTGTAGATGTAATGCCATGGCCACTGGTTACGCAGTGAACACATAGGCCACAATTAACGATGTTAGACGGCAGCTCCTCAGTTATATTTTTCATACATCCACTCTGGATACTGAAGTTTACATTTACGCAAGTCAATAGTCTTTTAGTCCACCATTTCTATCGATGCACTGCTGAATACGGCGTCCAATGCTGTCAATCAAATTGTCTATGTAGTCTTGGGGTAGGTGACTGGTGAGATTAGACCACTCAACGGCACTCTTCGATTCCAACTTTTCTAATTTGTCCTTCATAATCTGCCCACATTTTCAACTGGGTTCAGGTTTGGTGATGCCACTGTGAATTTCTGTAAGGTCACGTGAATCGTTTCAAACCAGTTACAGGTGTATCTTGACTTGTGTACAGGTGCATTGTCCTGTAAAAGTGTGAAAGGTATTCCACTCTGTCCTATATGGGATTCTACTATGCCTTGTTGTATAAGTTGACACTACTTCCGTGAATCCATCCTTCCTGTACTAGTTAGCAGCGGCGTTACCCCGCGTTTGCCTATACCACCCCAAACCATGATACTGGGTGAGAACTTCGGAACGATTTTCCAGCTACGTCCACCTTTTGACCGCCTCTTTCTTGTGATAGTGTAAGACTGAAACTTTGATTCGTCCGTAAAAATCACATTTGAAAAGTCTGTACCCTGCATTTCCCTGCACCACTCGAGCCTTTCCTCCATACGTGTTGTTGTCATCAATGGAACTTTCTTCGGCACTCGCTTGACATATTCATATTGCTTTAAAGATCTTCTGATTGTCCAATCTGATACCTTAGGGGTTCCTTGACTTGACGCCTTCACAGCAAGCTGCTTTGCAGACCAGTTGGGTACACCGCCGCGAGATACGTCGTCTGTCATTCGACCCAAGACGTCCAGATCCAGCCTGTCGTTCTGTCCCTAACCCTGCGTCAAATTTCTTCAAATTTCGGTAAACAGAGGCCCGATGCAGTCCCGTCAGTTTCACAAGTCTAGCTACGGATGTAATACTTCTTCATAATACGATTTCTGTTGTTTTTAAACGCCATGGCAAAGGTCACGTGACCAAGCCATCCTTGAACCTAAGGGAGATAATTCCATACAAACGAGGCAAGGTATTTGCGGCTAGGAACAATGTATTTTGGCTTTTTCGATAATAGAATCGAGTCTACAGAATGAAGTTTTTGACGCATTTTTTTCTGCTCGTTAATATGTATGTGGGCCACTATGCATGAAGCTATACAAGCAGGTCTTCAACTGACACGGACATTGAGTCACATAATATATTATTGCATCTTTGATTTGATGGTCAGTTTGACCCCCGTGTGACCTGGCCTGACCTCACCGTTACGTGAGAACGTCATCAGACTATCACTCTTCATGATGACATAAGGACAGAGAACAATAGGACAAAGAGAAATAGCACATGGAGCAATAGTACATATGTAAGACTTGGGTAATTGCTATGGTTGCGTAACAATTACGTCTCACGGTAAAAGGGATGGGCAAGTGTGTCTATTGCACGAAGTGCTCCAGTCAAAGATGACACAACACAAAAAGAATATGTATTGAAATAAAAGGGTCTTGGTTTACAGAGGTGCAAGTTCCGACTGTACAGTCCAGGTGAAACCTAAAAAAACAAGTTGGCTTGTTGTCACCTCGACAGTGCAGGCAGAAAGAGCCATTTTAAAGATACAATAATGAAAATCAACAATAATCCGACTGATATGTAGGATGTGACGACAATACTTAATAGGGGCAACAATATTATTAAAGGACAAATAAATACAATATTGGTACAAAAGTATATGTGCATATATGAGCACACAACCCCAAAGAGTATTTACATAAATACCTTTAATTACATAACCCAAAAGAATCGTCACACCCCTCCTATCAGAGGATTTACATAGAGCCCCACCCGAGGTGAGGTGAAAGTCACATTAACTTTAAGGGCCAATGGGAAATATAAAAATACATATATATACACAAAGTGGGGCAATATTTATACCCAACACATTTGGAATATATGAAAACCGGTTTGATTGATATAAACAATAGCCACGACAGGACACCTGACTTGTACGACACATGTGGCTAAAGGAAATGGGGTATGACTGCCTGTTGGATGATCATACTAGTCAATATGAGGCTAGCTCCAACAGAACGTCAATACACCCAGTAGGTACACCACTTGGGGCTACCCAGAATGAACACCTAATTGTAGTAAAATACATTGATAATATGTAATAAACGGATATTACATGATTTATATTACTACAATTTGTAGGTATATTATTGGCCATATGATATAATACATTATATTATTATTGAATAAACTGTGACTTCACTTTCACATCAAGTGGGGAAACATACTAAAATATGATTGATATAGTTGCATGGTACCGGTAGTCAATGCTATGTTAAGATAACCATGAAGCAGACGACGGACCCTAGTTTTGTTTACATCCGGTGCAGCCATTTTGTAATGGAGCCGGACGGGAGCCGGAGAATGCCGAGGAGATCCGAAGACAGCCCAGGCTGTGCGCTGCTCAGTGGAGAGGTCAGCACTGGTCAGTAAGCATGACCGCC